CGACTGCCCTTGGAAAACCAAAATCTGTTTAATGGACACCACAGGAGCCTGATGACCCCACCTTGGTTCCAATTAACAATTCTGTTCTGATTGCCCTTGTTGTCACTTTTAGAGAATTCCAGTTTTATCCTGTGTGATAATGCCATTAACCCATCCAACTCTTCATCTGCTCAGTCAAAAGCTATTTCAGAACCTATCTGTGCAAGATTTCATGCCAGACACGGAGCAACACTGAGCCCCGTTTGAAGACTGGAAATGCTGCCCATGCGAAACCACATGCCAGCCTTCTTTTTTTTTTTTTTTTTGGTCCTGGGGAGTGAACCCAGGGGCACTTAACCATTGAGCCACATCCCTAGCCTTTTTCTTTTGAGACAGGGTCTCACTAAGTTACCTAAGGCCTCACTAAGTTGCTGAGGCTGGCTTTGAACTTGCAATCCTCCTGCCTCAGCCTCCTGAGCTGCTGGGATTACAGGCGTGCGCCACCACCTGCTTATTGGCCAGCTCTCAATGCTGCACCCAAGCCCAGGGTTTCAGCCACATTAACGCAACAGCAGAAGCGCTCTGGGTATCAGCCTAGTTCTGGTTCTCAACTCCCTCTGCATGTGGCTTCCTCTCCAGTCCTTCAGAAAAGCAGAGTTCAAGGAGCACCTAATGAGAAAGCCGGGAGCCCCCCCTCTTCCCATGTGGTGTGCACTGCATTAAGGTACCTGTGCTGTAGTCCCTTTGGCAGAGGCGGAGGCGATGGGGGGGAATGAAGAGAAGATCCCGCACCGAGTGACCACCCGATTCTCTCTCCACAGCCCCTCCTACTCTCCTGCTTCCCCTTCTGATCTGAGGCTGAAGATCACATTCCACGAAGATTTATACTAGGTGCTGAGTCCTTGTATGGGTCTGCCATACAATTCTGCAGACGTGAAATCAGTCGTTGCTTTGCACATGCTGTTCCTCTGCCTACAGCCCATCTCCTCTGCCTTTTCACATGGTGACAGCTTAATCATCACCTCACCAGGAAAGTGTCTGCCCAGCAAGAATGACCTCATAGCACCCAAGACAATTTTAACTTGTGTGTTTGACACCTGTCTCCCCAGCTGGACCCAGCTCCCTGGGGCAGTTCCTCACATACACAGGCCCTCAATATCTCTTTTCTGAATGAAGCAAGAGGCTTATAGGGTAACAGTACAACCTAGTGTGTGTTGAGCATGTACTATGTGCCAGGTGCCTTGACAAGCTCCAAGTAGACATTTGGTCATGACAGCCCCGTGACAGCTGCACTATTAGTGCTCCCATTTTGCAGATGAAAGATATTACATTATGCACCCCCGCCCCCATTTTTAAAGAACAGGAATTAGAACCTGGTAAGCAACTTGCACAAGGCCACAGGACTAATAACAGCAAGGATCTGAACTATATCTCTGAATTATCTCTTCAGGTCACCAGAACTGCTCCCTTCATTATCTCCCCATCTCCCACCTGTTCCCATGCTTCCAGTGACCATTTCTGACCCTTCCCTGAATCCTCATCCTCCTATCCTAAGGCCCCCAATTCAGAAGTTTTCCTCAACTCCTGCCCTCACATCCTTCACCCTATCAGCTCCCATATCCCTCCTGCAGCTGTGCTTCAGAGTACTCTGCAAAGACCCCAACCAGAACATCAACCCACAGCTCTCAGCCGCACACGGAGGGATGGCATCTATTTCCCCACACCCTAGTGGGACTAGCCTGTCATTGCATCAACAGGCAAACCCCAGCAAAGCGGACAGGCAATGAGCTCACAGATGAGACCCAGCAGGTAAACCCAGTGTCCCTGCTCCACTTCCAGCACTGTCCCTTGCTCCCCTCTGCCTGTATTTACAGAGCTGCTTGGATGATGAGCCACGGCTTCCAAGGCACTCCTCTGTGGCAGATCTGTGACATGAGAGGTCAGTGAGGATCCATGAGTCCTGCTCGTGGAGACCTTCAGTCCGTTAAATAAAACAAGCTCCAGCTCAGTGAAGCCTGCTCAGTCAGCAAAAGAGGCCAGCTGCCATGGCTCCAGAGGTTCCCCCTGGGTACACAAGCCTTCAGACCAGAAGCCGCTGGGAGAAGAGAAATGAAGACCAGCAGGACTAAAAGGATGCAGGGACAAGAGGGAAAGCACTCTGGAGGAAAGCAGGTCTTCTTGGAGTTATCTGCAGGAAGGAAGGACGATGTGGGATGATGATACTGCCAGGTGACACAAGGGTGAACATGTCACTTCCTTTTGGAAACTTTCAAGACTCCTTGGCAACCACATCAGGATCAGGTTCAAATTCCTTAGCATGGTCTTCAAAGGTTTTCCCCAAGACCCATCACAGCCACATCTAGGAGGAGAGGCATTTCAAGCCTCCACAGCTGCCCAGGGTCCCCCTCTACCTAGAATCTCTCCCTTCCTCCATGGGTCCAGCGCCCCTTGTCCTTCAGAGCATAGAAGACTTGCCGCACATCCTAGGACAGTGGGAAGAGCAAGGCTCTGAAGTCCGATCAGCCTGGCCTCCATGCAGGTGACCGCCCCTCTCACTGGTGGCGCAAGGATGAAACACAATGATTCAGGAAAGCACTTTGAACTGTGCCTGGCACACAGTAAGTGCTCAATAAACGAGCTGTTGTTCCTATTGTCCTTTGGGCCCCTTTAGGGCCCTCTGTTTCCACCACAAGTAGAGCACTGTCTTGCACATACTGGTTACATGCTGGGCTCCCTCAGCCAGCCACAGCTTTTTCTAGGGCACCACCCATGATTCTGGCCTTTCTTCCCCAAGTCTGGCACAGTGCAGGGCACACAGTAAGTACTCAGAAAGTGCTTGCTGCCACAAGAGCCTCAGCCGAAGGTCCTAGAGCAGACCCCACTCAGAGCTCCCCCAGCCCATCTGCCTCCCTGAACTCACACACCAAATCCCCAGTCTATCCGCTGCTACTTGGTTTCAAAACAAAGGGCTGAACCCTGCCTTGCCAAGGCTGTTTCTACTCCAGGGAATGCATGGAGAGCCATGAGCACAGCAGGGACTAGAAATAGCACTGAGCCCCTCGCAGGGAGAGGGCTGGGCAGGCCAGCCAGCAGCCAAACCTTCACGACAGAGAGTGGGAGAAAACCCCTCCAGGCAGGAGCCCAGGCTCCCAGAACTCAGCAGACACAAAGTGAACTAGGACAACAGGTCACTCATCTGGCCGTATGTGGAAGCTCTTCTACCCCAGTGGGGACATTTAGAAGGGACTCCTTGTAAAATCCATCACCACCATTAGAGCAACTTATAACACATTCAAAACCCCCCAAACTGCAAAAAGCACCCCAGATTGCCTATGGTTCTTGGAGAGAATTTACAGTGCATTTACCTACTGGCCATTGGGGTCACCTGGATTGGGGTCACTCTCTATTTCCATCTCTTTAGCAGATTGTGAGCCACCCTAGAGCAGGCCCTTAGAACCCATTCATCTTCAGATATCTGTGCTCATCTTCAGCATGGTCTCTGGCACATACTAGATGTTTAATAAGTTAGAAGGCAACAAGATCTGGAAGCAAGGGAGGTCCTTGGCTCAAGGATGACTCCATTCAGGACTCAATGCATGATGGACAAGTGAGCCATGAATTTCCTCTGGGCCTCAGTTTTCCTCATCCATAAATAGGGATAACAACAGTTCTTTACTCATACAACTGCTGTGAGAATTAACTGTGAAAGTCTACATGGGAAGCACAAAGGAATATCAGATGGCTCAACTGTCCCTTTGTGCCACATTCCCCTCCCCCAGCACTAAACCCACCTCTGCACTCCTATTCCTTTGTTTTGTGTTTTTCACATCATTGTGATTACTTGTTTCCAAGTCTGTGTACACTCACCCACCTGAAAATTCCTTGAGGCTCAGGGCCTCAAGTGGGCACAGGCTTGGCTTCGAGGGCTCTCCCACCCCACAGTCCCAACTTTAACATGCACAACACTCTCAACAAGATACTCGGATGTGCAGAACCCAAGGGCCCACCGAGCATGTTGACAAGGGACATGGAAAGGGACGTTACATGCATAACCTGTCAAGAAAGTCACACCTCTGAGACCTTCACCTCCTCTGCAGGTGCAGGTGAGCTTGTCTGCCAGGCTGACTCTGCAGCACACCAGCCTCCAGGGCACAGATTCTACTTCTTTCCTTACATAAAACACCCAGCAGTCAAATAAATAATACATGGCTTTCACCTCACACACAGGTATCAGGCATGCAAACACCTGCTTTACCCAGGATGCCCTGGAAGGGAGGGAGGGGTGAAATGTCTGGCCTCAAACAACCCCTCCCCCAGAAGACATGGACTGGATATCTGTGCCCACTCCCAGCCTCACTCCCTTGCCATGGCCTGGAGTCACCTGGCACTGATGCAAGTAGATCCAAGCAAGGGGCCCAAGGGAAGAAATGCACAACCCACAGGATGATACCCAAATCAGCCTCCAGGGTCTCTTTGCAGGCAGACAGACTTGGAGCCCCAGGTTCCCCTCCAAATACGCGGAACAGTGAATGGGGCTTGTACACCATCCATGCACGCTGCCCTAAAGGCCTCCCCAGCCAAGTACCCTCCCCAGGGTCACCGCCACCGCACAGGGCTCAGATGCCTCCCCCATCACTCGGCAGTGCCAGGCGCCAGCACACCCACCCGAGCGCACACGATCCACTTGCAAAGGGCCTGCGTCCACCGCCCCTCTCGCCGGCCACCCCCACGGGCAGGTCCGATTACACTCCAGACGCGGCCCCCGCCACGCTGGCGGGGAGGGGGGGCAGGCACACCCACGAGCCGCCCGCGACCCGCGGCGCGGAGAGGGGGCACAGGGCGGGACCGGCGGGGCCATGGACGTTCCCTCCCTCCCCGGCCAGGCCAGCGGTCTCCGTCCCCATCCCTCCCCGGGACCAGAGGCCGACGCTCCCCGCGCCGGCCTCCCCGAACCGAGCAGCCCCCCGCCCCCGGGAGTCCGCGGCCGCCCCCTCCGGCGCGAGGCTGGCCGGGCGGGGTACCTCAGGAGCCCATGGCGGGGGCGTGTGCGGGCGACGCGCGGCGGTCGGGCTCTGCGCACGGGGCGGGCGGGCGGCGCCGCAGCCCGGAGTGTCGGCCGCCGCCGGCGCGTCCCGAGCCCAGCGGAGTGCCGCCGCGGCGCGCTTGCGCACTGGGCGCGCGGCCGGGAGGGCGGGGCGGTGAACGCGCGGCTGAGGTCACCCACCCGGCCTTAAAGGAGCCTCGCCGCGAAGTCCAGCGCAGCGCGCCGCTCGCTCGGAGGGGGTGACCTGGTTCTCCTGCGCTCGCACACCAAAACGCGTCCCCGCAACTCCGCCCATCACAGAGCTTCCTTGGGCTCCTGGACTCAGAACCACCCGCTACAAATTCTGTGGCGTCCTGTCGCCGCTTCAATTCTCTTAACCCTAATTTCTTCCAGTTGAGCCTGTTTTGAAGGTGAAACTAAAAACAGTGTCTATTTGTGGCGTGAAAGATGCGTGTGGAATTGGGGCGTGAACGTATACCGAGTGCTGTGTGCAGGAACACGAAACAAATCGGCAAAGCACGGAAAGCGGATTTTTCTTCCCATTCTACTTAGCTGCGCTTCGTTCCTGCCCCTCCTCGCTCTAGATGGCCCGACCAGCCACACTCTGCAGGTATCATTCCAGCCGCCTGACCTATTTCTGTTTGCCAGGTCCACATCTTCAGCCAGTGAACTGAAAAGCATAAAATGAAATCAATTAAAAAAAAAAAAAAGACAATTCAAAAAAATGCAATCAAGTTCTGGGTTGATGAGCAAGAGCCCCAAATTTATATTTCCCCCCCACCTCCCCCAACTCTCTGCTGACATCTCTTGCTTGGAGGTCCAAGGTCATACATACCCCTTCTACACACATGCAAATCTGCTCTCTCCCAGCCTTCACCACCACCCCACCAGCTGTGGCCAACTCCATCCTTCATTCTCTGGGTCAGAACTCCTTTGGTTTGGGTAGTGTAGGGTGGGGGCACTGAGGATTGAACCCAGAGGCCATCTACCACAAAGCCACACTCCCAGACCTTTTTATTTTGAGACAGTGTCTGAATACATTGCCAAAACTGAGCTCAAACTTTCCATCCTCCTGCCTCAGTCTTCTGAGTCACTGGGATTACAGACATGTGCCACTGTGGCCCAGCACCTGGAATCATGCTTGAATCCCCTCTCCTGCCTCTATCCACATAGGCAGGCAGGAAATTCTGTTGGTTCTATTTGCAGGATATACCTAGGCTCTGACCTCCTCCACCCCACCCCCACTGCTGGTCTACCCAGGATTGTTGCAAGTCTCTCCAAAGCCATCTTCCTCTTGCTCTCTGTCTGGTCTATGTCAGTGTGGGAATCAGAAGAATTATTCTGAAACCCGTAGAACACTCACCTGGCATGTGCATGGCCCTGATTTTAATCCACAGCACGGCTAAATAAATAATAAGTAAATCCTGAGTCAAATACAGCATTTTTCTCAAAATCCTCCACTGACTCCTCTTTTTTGGAGAGGGAGGGGAGTACTGCCCATTGAACCAGGGCTTCACATCTGCCAGGCAAAATCTTCTACCCCTGAGCTACACCCACAGCCCTTTTTCTTTTTTATTTTGAGACAGGGTCTCACTAAGTTGCCCAGATGGCCTTGAACTTGTGAACCTCCTGCCTCAGCCTCCTGAGTTAACTGGCATTACAGGTGTGTGCCATTATGCCCAGCTCTCATTTCATTCAAAATAAAAACTGGAGCCCTTACAAGTCCGAACAAAGGCTTGATCTGCCATTCTCCCTGCCCAGACATGCCTGACCTCATCTCGGACCCTTCAGGCTCTCCACATGACCCGCTGCTGTTCCTGGAACTAGTGGAACACAGTTGGCTTCAGGTCTTTCCCACTGGCTGTTTTCTCTGTTACTGTTCCCCAGATACAGAATGATTCCCCCTCAGTGTCCAAGGGTTTGCTCCATTGTCCCCCACCTTGGTAAGTAGCCAAACCCCTCACATGCACACCCTGTCCCCCCTGCACTACGCTCTGTTTTCCTAGTAACATTCCATTTCTATCACATTAGTTTGCCTATTTTGCTCTCTGTTTTCTCCCAGTGGAACATAAATACAAAGAAGACACAGATTTTTAATCCTTTTAATTCCCCTGTGTAACCCCAGTACTTAGCACAGGAGTTAACAGAGCAAACCTGGGTACACAGTGTATTCGTAGCATGAACAAATATCCTGTGAAAGCAAAGTCCTTCTAGAAAAATCCCTTCCCAGCCCAGTTATGAAGTCCCTGCGGGCTCAGGACCAGGATTATCAATTACATTGTGATCATTTGTTAATGACTTCCCACTTCTCCCTCCCTCCACAAGGACAAAGTCCTGGTGCCAACCAGGCTATGTCTCGCATGTTTATAACCAGACCCAACCTGGTATCCACCGTCCTAAGCAGGGCCTTCAGGCCGAACCGCACCCAGTCCCTGCTCCACAAGGACGCTCACCCACTGGTCTCAGTTTACAGAGGCCCAAGGCTGCTGGGGGCAGAGGCAGGTGGTGGGTATTTTTAGGCATGGGTCCTCAGAAAGGGGCTCAAAGACAGAAAGTCACCTGGCCTGGTGACACGGCAGGTCAACAGGTGGCCCTGGGAACTTTCCTTGGTTGCTCCTCTTTGGAGATACAAGCCTCTCCGGTCGGGGTCTTTGCTCAGGATTTCCAAAAAGAAGAAAAGATTTGCCCCTGCCTCTCCCTATCTCCGCCCATCCGCCCCTCCTGTGGAGGCTCAGAGATCTCCCTATCTCTGTCCTATCTCCTCTCCAGGCCTGTGTCCACCACCCTGGTTTCGGCCACCTTAACTTCTGGACAGTTATGGCGGTCTCCCAGCCCACTGGCTAACGAAGAAGAAAGCCTTCCCTCACCGCAGGCACTAGCCCTCTCTACCCAGGAAACAGCTAGGACCAAGGCAGACTACCGCCTGGTTCCTCTGTTTTCGTGCAGTACGGGAGCTTGAACCCAGGGCCTCCCACAGGCCAGGAGAGCGCTGAGCTACATCCCAGCACCTTTGTTTTGAGACAGGACCTTGCTAAGTGGCTGGGTCTGGCTTCAAACTTGTCATCCTCCTGCCTCAGCCTCCTGAGTAGCTGGGATTACAGGTGTGCGCCACCATGCCCGACTCCCCATTCTGTTTTAATTAGTTTCTCCCTAACCAAAAAAATAAAAAATGAAATAAAATAAATTTAAAATAACCTTTGGGCTGGGGATGTGGCTCAAGTGGTAGCGCGCTCGCCTGGCATGCGTGCGGCCCAGGTTCGATCCTCAGCACCACATACAAACAAAGATGTTGTGTCTGCCGAAAACTAAAAAATAAATATTAAAATACTCTCTCTCAAAAAAATAAATAAATAAATAAAATAACCTGAAAATCACTTAAGAATTATGAAATATATTATGTCAGATTCCTACACACACTTAATCATTTCCATGGGGGAAACAATTAGGAATGATATTGGGTAAAAAAGGTAGTAATACATTTGTGTTATAGCCTGGTCTGAACTCTGTAAAAAAGTGCTTAGAGGAAAGATCCCAAGAAAAGCTAACAAATGGTTTATCAATTAGTTCTTTCTTTTTAGTATCTGGGATTGAACCCAGGGGTACTTAATCACTGAGTTACATCCCCAGCCCTTTTTAAGATTTTATTTAGAGACAGGGTCTCACTGAATTGCTTAGGGCCTCACTAGTTGCTGAGGCTGGCTTTGAACTTGCCATCCTCCTGCCTCAGCCTCCTGAGCCACTGTGTTACAGGCGTGTGGCCACCACACCTAGCTCCTTGGACCAATTTTGAAGCGAACCTGCCCCAAACACTGACTCCATGAACTCCACTCCAGCAACCTCTTTTGGTTGAACACCAGTGTCCCGAGGCTGGAGCACCACCTGACATACTCTTCCTCACTCTGACCTCCATCCCTGTCCTTTTCTTAAATTCCTTCAAGTCCCTGATAAAGCTTCAGTTTTCCCAGGTATGTGGTTAAGAGGAAAAAAGAAAACATCACACCCTGGAAGACACATCGCTGTGTCCTGTATGCAAAAATGTATGCGTGTACGTTTACCTATGGGTGTACGGTTAAAGGAGCAGGAAAATTCTAGAAGTCCATCAAGTCCTTTCTGTGTCCCCAAGCCTGACATTCAGGGACTGACAGTCGTGTCTTCAGCGTCTTCCTCACAACTGCTGTTTCCTGAGTGCTCACCCCGAGAAAGGCCAAGCACAAAGCTCTTGGCGAACTCAGCAAGCAGCCGTGACTGCCGGCTGACTGCCAATCGGCAGACGAGGAAACTGAGGCGCGGGAAGGCAACGCTCCTTGGCGATGCCACAGGAGCAGCCTGGCACAGAGCTGGCCCCAAGCATGTTTGTTAAATGAACCCAGGACCCACTTCCACCCCTCCCGGTGGGAATCAGCCAGGAAGAGGAAATGACTGCCACGCAGCCCTCCCGGCAGGCAGGGTGGTGACGGCAGGCAGGGTGGTGACGTTCAGCAAGCAGAACTAGGCCATTCCTGGGGGGGCACCACCTGGGGCGTGGGAGTGAATCACAGACTTGGCCTGAGATGATTGACAGGAGGCTGTGAGACGAGCCTGAGCAGAGACCCAGGAGGGAAGAAACCTCTCTCTGACTCGTTGCGCATGGACCTGGACCCGTACCTCCAACACAGGTAGGTGGGTCCCTTTTTAAACTTGCTTTGCCAAAACAGACTCGCCAACAAAGCAGGCCACAGAGGAGGATTTACGGCCAGTGTCCTTGGAGTCGCTGGAACAGGTTTTAGGTTCTTTACAAAATCCCTAGTTGCTGCCAAGGATCCAGGACCACTGTCGTCAGGCAAGGCAGGCACCCTGTGGGTCAGGGGCGTCCCGGGACCTGGGGGTCTGGTCCTGGAGGATTTAATGGAGGACGGGGAGCCAGAGACCTGGGTGTCCCAGGCCTAGGACTGCAGGGACGCATTAGGCCTCCTGCCTGCCCTGGGTGAACCTGGATGCAGTGCTTCAAAGGGAGGGTGGGGTACACCTTAATTGCAGGTGCTTTGAAGGTGCCGGGATGAAA